ACCCCTACACGTGCATGTCTTGCATGTGAGAAACGGACTATGCAGTCTCAAATGGAAAGGACCTAGTCCATAAGGCAACCACTGTGCTCTTGTGTCTGCAATAATTAGCAGAGTTTAAATTCATCAGTTCAGAGAGCGAAGTCCCCGGGGCCACGGGAAGTACTGCGCTAGAATGCTTCTTCAGATAAGGAACTATTAAAGACCCTTCTGGGATAGTAATGAACATTAATGCAAAAATAAGAATGTGTAAGTATCAAGTTTGACTATTAGACCAAATGGGGAAATTCAAGTTTACATCTTTGACCTGTTAAGATGGGAATGTAAAAGCATCAGGTAACAACAGCAAGCAATACAATCCAGGAAGTTCTAAAAGAAGAAAAGAGTTAATTTTATACAGCGTGGAGTAAGAGCTCTAATCAGACGACCCTTTTTCAGTTTTTCCCTCGTGGTGCGTCCCAAAATCCTCACTGGAGGTCACAGAAAAAATTGTATAAGAAGCTGTATAATGAAATGGGACGGCGGGTTTGTGACAATTTCCATGCTTTTATCCTGCTTGCCTTACCCAGCTGAAGTCTCTCAATCTGATCTTCTTAACTATCTTTAACTCATTGTATTCTGCATAATAAAGTTTTTCTTAGATCACCTCTCTCCTATTCTGGGACAGGATTTTTTTTGTCTGGGTTTTTTTTTTTTTTTGTAAGCCCACACACATTTAACTTGATGGAGAATTAACTTCAAAAGCTTCCTTTCAACTATTTATGAGCATATAAATAGCTATGCAGGAACAAGTCAATAACTTGTCTAGTATGCTTCCTGTTTCAAACAATGGCAACGGTTGGGTATTTTGGGATGAAAATGTCCATTTTCTTGTATCTTTCTATCTCCTTATAAGTGTGTGTGCATGTGTATATCTCTCTCTATATATATTTATATATAGCCACAGTCATATTTACACACATGTGCACACACATGCCCACGTGATTATTTTCTTTATGTATAATTCACCAAAAGAAAATACTTAGACTAACTTCCGGACATGTAAGTACAACAACAGCTAAATATAACATTTCAATTTCAAGCTTAATAACTGTTAAGAAGTTTGTTTCCCATGTTCTATGTCTTTAATTATGTCGTTAATATCAGTTACTTCCATGCACTTTAACCTGCACTTTTTCAACCTCAATTTTATAGTCATTGTGCAAGCCTGCTTCTGCAGCTGAGATTTGGGTATCAAATTTTGAAGAGTAGGCTATGAGGCTATCATCCTCAAAGGATTTTCTGTACCTTTCAGGGAACATTTCTTAGACAGAAAATTTACCCAGAATGGTAGGTAAATTCAAATATATGAATATAAGACCCCGTTTATGCATTTCAGCTGGGCTAGTAAATAGCTGAAATGTGGTAGTGTGGTTTCAGTTCAATGTACTTAGAGCATTGTCTTCTTCAAGTAAGATATTCCCAGCATGTCAGTTGTCTGGAAGTAGCGATCTAAGTTAGATCTCTTCCAACACAAACATCTTCAAATTTAAAAATCACAGTAGGAAATCAGAAAGAATCACTCCCCAGGGGCATCTGTATTCTCAAACATCAGCCTTTGTCTGTGTCATTTTGTGCCACGTCACATTTCTAGTCATCATCTGGTTACAGACCCTGTTGTTTAACAGTATCTTGTAGTTGCCACTCTGATTAACCAAAATGTCCAAAGTATTCAAACCATTACCCTTTTTTTCAGGGCTCATTACCAAATTTACTTACAACAAGAGTTCAGTTACATTTAAAGAGAAACAGGCAGATTTTCTTGACAAACTTCTAAAGCCCTCACAGCAGCTAAAAGGCTCATTCCTCATTTCCTTTTTCTTCACAGTCACACTTGCGCTCTTTTCCTACAAAGATCAGCAGGGATTTGAGGACCCTTACCAGGAAGGAAAAGGTGCTGGAGAATTTTGTTCACACGGGGTGTCGGTTCTCTATTTGTCTCTTTTTCAGCTATGTCCACTCTCCACTTGAAAAGATACCACCCTGGTAGCTTTAAAACACAAAAGCTTATCACTGTATTCTTTTCTTGCTTAGTCAACCTTTTTATTACTTCTGTTTATTTTCTGCTACATTCGTCCCATTCACCTCTGCCTTTGTTACGTTTTCTCAAGGCACCTTATCTTTCCATGATTAACATGAACACAAAAATGCTTCCTTTGCACATACATTAGTCTTTTTTCTCAGAGTAACTGTTTTACGTCAAAGTTAAGAGTTATCTATTTTCAACAAATTGGACTTTTAAAGTGGTTTTAAAATAAACATTTGTAGAGCATACCACACTTTCTTACCTGAACAGAGTTGTTCGACTTTTGTGTAGTTTAAAGCTAATATATCATTAACCCATGCGATGATGTCATGTCTGCTCATAGTCTCTTGGGTAATAGAGGTAGAGTACACGTTGACCGCCATTCCCCAACTAGGAAAAAAAAAGGACAAAAAATATTTTTGACATTTTGATAATTGTTTTCTGGATACAATGAATTCACACTTCTTGTTGAAAAATAGAAGGAAAAGCTGCATCACTGCACAACCTTCTCTTATTTAAAGAGAAAGGAGGCTTAGTTTTTATTCTTTGATGAAACATTACCTCTTTGATGTCCTCTTGGAATCTATGAACATATTTCTCTGGCTGTCATTGTGAACTTAAAGAACATACAAACCTGAACCATTCTGCTTAATACTAATAAGGTAGGGAAAAAAGAATCAGACATAGCCTAAAGATACACAGACAGGATCAGAGACCTGCGATTTCGTCACATAGTGCTGCACAAATCTAGTGATCTGACATCTATCCGTCAGGGATTTTGCCACTGCAAGATGATCAGTGCCTAAATTACTGCCTAAACCAGTATTTAATTTGCAGACAACTTTTAGAAGATGTAGCTGTTCTACTTACTCAAATACTGATTTCTTACTGGGACAGGGGGCTGTTGGATCATTAATTCAGTTCTGAACAGTCACAGAGTGAATACGAGATAATCTTTTTTTAGCAATTTACCAACCTCTATCAAGAAAATTACTGAGACTTGCACTCCCAACCGTCTTGTTGGAAAGCTGCTGCAGAGCCCAATTCCTCTAAATCATTAGGAACACTTCCTCTCAGCTTAAACCCATTTATTCTTCTGCCAACATTATCCTCCAGCTCTAATGGCTTTTTCTTTCCCAGAGCAGATATTATAATGCGTTAGGGACAGCACTCAAGAGTCTGTCCCAGTGCCCAGGTAGGCTAGATTAAGCAAATCAATCCTCTGAGTCTCTTATAAAGTCAGGCCTTCACTTACTGGTCATGCCAGCAAGTCCTCCTTGAACACAGACAAACAGTTTCAGACTAAAGTTTCACCAAGAGCTTGGAAAACAACACTGTGCTGAAAATTTTCATAGCCACATCATCTTAAATAGACCTTTCTAGTTAGCTAAGGTCCTTTCCTGCAAGTAGGTCTAATTTATAGTAGCTTTTGTCATCAGTCCCCAACTGCATAGACTGGAAACACATACTACTTGCTCTTATTCTCTGTTATTCTACACTAGTCACATCTTTCTGTTGCAAGATATCGACAGGAGAAAAGACGAGCATATTCAAGTTTATCTCATCAATAGTTTCAAAGAGCAGAGTCAAGATCATTCATGAAAAGAGTAAATAATGTTCCCAAGACTACTGGAAGACTTCAGGAAGTCCACTAGTAACAATCCAAGTACGAGATGTCTCAGAAATGATCAAATAGTCAAAGTTGTGCCATTGTTCTTGGAAAGGAAGGATTTGGTGGGGACTGCACACCTTGTCTCTAGTGACATCTTGTAGCTAACACTTAACTGGCTATCTTTGGTGCCACCTCAGCCTTGGACCTCAACCTTCTCCCTCAGTAAAAGACAGCAGGATCTCCTCTGTGAGATCTGAGGTCTGCATGGACTGTTTCCATTGACGATTAGCAAAGATGTAACTGTTGGAAGCTTGATAGACAATTCTGCAGAGAACACTAAGACTGCAGGTTGACTTCATCCATTTTTCAGGTGTGCTGGAGCAACCCAGATAAAAAGTGGAAAAAACCCACCAGCATGAAACTTGACACAGTAACATGTAAGTGTGTAAGTACATACAGCAGGGAATGTACTTCGAATACAACGTGGCAGAGTTCATAATATAGGTCACCTTCTATGAAACAAATTTCACACAGAAGATCATTCAAATCATCCCTATCTACTGACATTAAGATCCAGACCATAAAATCCCCAAATTTGCCTGATGGGGGGGGGTGGGGGTGGGGTGGAATTAAAATTAAGAAAAAAAGACAGACCCATAAGAGAAAGTAGGCTCAAGAAATTCATGCTCTGATAGTCTGGCTACTACTGCCAGCAATTCATTCAGAACCAGGCTGCCCCTCTACCCGCTTCTGTACGAGCACCTCTAAAGTACGGAAGAAATGAGCCTGTCCTCAGTCTGTTCAGTTCCTCCTGCAGGCTCCCAGACAGCACAGCTAACTGTACAAACACAGCCCAGTATTCACTGTAACAGTTAGCAAAGGTCATTTTCTTGGCGCACACTAAGTGCTGGGATTGAATCGAGCGCTAGGAACAAAGTTTTAGGAATAGGGAGTGCCCTTTTACTCTTGAAACCACACCATAATGGCTAACCATGAAAGCTTAGCTTCAACATCAGGATGGAAGAGATTGAGCACAGCACAAAGGCAAACAGCACCTTTGTTACTAATGGCATCTGAAGTTTAAACCGTCACTGTTAGCATGGTTTTTACTTTATTATTCCTAGTCTTTTTATATAGATAAGAAGCTAACAGAAAGATACTACCACTGTCACTATTAAACATGTTCAGTATTGTTTGCAAGATCAGTTCAAGTAACACCTTAATAGTGACTTTAATGTTCACTTAAGATTCAGAATAGTGAGTTTAACATTAAACCAAGAGATCAATATGGAACAGTCCGCTCATTTCTAAAGAAGCTAAAGTTATTTAGGTGCTACCATTTGAAATAACGCTACTCTGACTTGCAATTGCCACTACTTCATCCAAATTTTAATCGTCCTCTCGAGGCCAGGCAGAACTTGGAACAACCATCTGCTACCAGTAGTGAAAGCAGCAAGTCTACTCTGTTAAAAAGATCAAGAAAATCCACACACAGGAAGGAAGCAGAAATTCCCTCATCATCCTCTTCCAAAAGCAACTGCAAAGACAAATACCTATCCTTCTGCAAGCGACAGGAGAGCAAAAACCTCCTTTGCTGCAGTGCACGGGATGGAGAACTCTACTTCAGGAAACAGCAAGTAAATTAATAACCTTGAGTTTTACAATGATACCCTGAAGGGTAACTAATGTAACTTACGCTGTGTCTGCAAATGAATTACGGTCTACGGGTCAAATGAAAGTTCAGGCTATTTGTTAGAGACAATAGCTTCACTTTCGTACGCACAGATAAGCACAAGGGTATAGCGTTACAATTTTAAACAAACGTATTGCAAAATGAATCAGAATTTCTGTTTTAAAAAAACAAACAACAACATACCATTGCTATTTATTCTGTGGCTTGTTAACACATGTCTGAATCTTCCATGGCCTCTTCTCTTGAAAGAGTGCACCATGTCTTTGCTTCTTCTGTCCCCCACCCTCCTAATGGTTATGTTTGAAATAAACTCAGCTGGGAAAGGTTTCCTTTACAGTAAGCACATTCTAATTTGGTGCTCAGATACACACACATATCCTGTTTGCCACACAGACAGACCTTGGGGGGAAGAAAAAAAAAAGGCAAGAGAAGAAAACAGAACAACCAGGCATAGGTAGCAGAGCCGCCATGCTTGGGAACAGACAAGAACTCCTGCACTCAATATCCACAGCTGGGCCCGGGTTTTCTCCAGGATTCAGTTCCCCATGTGCTGAATTGCTTTGGCAAATGTAATCCAGATTCAAAACACACATTAATAAACATCTGTAAGGTGATACAAGAGAACAGCTGGACAGGTGGAGACTCACAGGCTGTACTCTGTATTCTACAGCCAAGTAGCTAACAACTTACTTGTATGTACTAATACACTACTTCTTCCCAATAACATTATTTACATTTTCAACTTGTTAGGCTTTCCCTTGTTTAGACTGAAGGCTCTCAAGCATAAGGCTGCGATGAGGCTTTTACAGACCTGAAAATCAGCATCTACCTCAATGAGATCTTTAAGCTTCCACCTTCCATAGAGATGCCTGGTGATTCTGCAGCAACTCAAAACAGATTGAAGATAGCACATCACATCCCCCACTTCAAAGCACACAGGTGGAGATTAAAAACCTCTGGCTGTTACAGTACTGCCTAACCACAAAGGTCTCTGCCTCGTTCTACTTATAAGAAACTGAAATTTGAATCAGCAATAAATATAAACAAGCCATAGGAGAGTCTTCATATATTAGTCCAGGCCATTTCAGAAAATGCACTTCGCACTTGCACAGCTATGCACCACAAACCTGAGTTCAGGGGATTACTTAGGTGCTGAAAATCATGTATATGCTTAAGCAGTTTCCCCAATCAGAAATACCCTGGCTCAGCATGCCTGATGGTAAACATTACACCCAAAGGAGTATTAATTTTTTAAGGCATTACATGCAGCAGTGAACATTCAGCTATTAGGCATTTTCCACTGCTCTTGCTACAGATAACTGCAGCTGTTACAAGGTGTTATCCAGCTGCGTTTAAGGACAGTTTTGCAAGAGGCATATTTATTTTTCTGGGGAAAAACTAACAGTTGTTGACAGTGAAAGCTGTATTACGCCAAACCAGTAATAACGGCAAGACTGGAAGGATTACAGCAATGAATCTATCTGCAGTGTAAAAACTCACCACACATGCCATCACCTCTGAACCTGCAAGGCCTTCCTGTTTTGTACAATTAGGCAGGGTATGATGGGGAGTTTTTAAACGCAGTAGAAAGCCTGTGTGACAATACAAAGAGGAGCCTTCCGGAAGCAGGCACCTGATAGCATCAGGATAAATACTGCCAGTAAAACAAAAGATCTCACACCAAAAATTACTGAAGCAGAAGGTACAGCAGAAAGGCTAAGATGCAGCTGAGTGAGACTGCTGTAGCTCCTGTTGGAAAGGCTTTCCAGATGAAAGCTACTGCAAAACAAAAAAACCTGGAGGAAGAAACCTGCCAGGCTCAGTGGCCACATCCCTGTAGGAGGAAAACTCATCCTTTCATATCATCCTGAAGTGGCAGGTGATTTGCAGCTGGACCTTGCCTGCTTCTTTAACATTCACTGCATACAGCCTTAGCCATTAGAGGCCCGTTACCCTCAAGGCTCTCTTTACCAAAAGCAGTCCCAAGGACAGAAAAATAAGACAAAAAGCTCCAGCGCGGTTCTGACAACACTGCTCTTACTCTCCCTTTTGACTTGCGCTGTACTCCTGCAGCAAATTCCATGG